CTCCCCCTCCCCGGGCGGTCGCTCACTAAACCGGAAGTAATCCCCCAGGCAGGCGCTCCGGGCCCCGGCCCCTACGGCGCTCCGGGGCAAAACGTCCCGGGTATTAGTGCGGCGAGATAGGGGCGCGGCTATTCATAGCGATCGCGAGGGATCGACTCGTCGACACGGCGGAGTCCACGCCGGCCTCGGGGAGAAGCCGGCCGGCCGACCGGGCGGCGTCGCTATATAGTATTTATATACACACGTCATGTTTGTAACGTACACGGCGGCGGCTTTGGCGAAAACTAAACTCCCTGAAGGCAAAAAAAAAATAGAAGCGAAACAGCGGCTGGACAAAACCTGAAAGGCTACGACTGAGTAGCGCTCCTTATTGCCATCCGGTAGAGACGGTGTTGGGGTGAACTGTCTACAAGGGGAGCTCGTGATCGGCTTGTAGAGCGCGCCGTTCTCGGACAACAAGCGCGGACGGGACGGAATACTTGACTCGCAAAAAATATTTCTTGCCACGCTGGACTCTGCACCGGCTACCGCGAGCAAACTGGAACCACCCCGAAGGCTCGCGCTAGCAGAGATGAGCGTTCTCCCACGTTACTGACGACCGGTCAGCTCTCTGCGTGCTAGCCCGTCAGTCGCGAGACGCGCGCTGGGTCCCTGGGTTGAGGCGCTTGTCGGCTTGGAAGCTGGTTGGAGACCGAGACCGCCCCACACGCACAGCGGAACCAGACGCCTGACCAGTACTCGGTGGTGTGGTTGGTTTGATTTTATTTTGCCGAAGGATAATGAATGCCATTGACAACTCATCTTACGAACTATGCAGATGGGAACTTTTAAATTACACACCCCCTTACTTTGAAAAACAGTCTTTTTACTAAGGTACAAAATGTAGTAGTACAAAAATGCAGAATGGGAATGAAAACAAGGGAAATAGTGAACACAAAACGAATTTTATGCTAAGTAGGAAACTCGTTTTTTAACCAAACAAAATCACTGTAGTTTTTGAAATCAGTTCGTACTTTTATCTCAGTCTAACGCACCTTAAAAAATAGTTTCTTGTATTTCAAGACCTGGCCTTGGGTGCCATTGGCGTTCTCCATAAGATCCAAGACCGGATCTTGAAATCCAAGAAACTC